TTCCCTAGAATTCAGCGGGATACTGTGTGTTTCTCCTTCATCGGATCTCCGGCGGATTCGGCGATATTTGGGAACATGGGTCAGTCCGATTTCGCCGTTGAATACGATCGCAACGCTGGGACCGTCTCTTTCGCCCCGCGTGAATGCAACTGATCATATTCATACCCATGCATGCATCTATCCTTTGATCTATTTTGTTTTCAATTTTGCTTATTCAATTCGTCTTTGTTTTTGTTGGAATGTTGGCGTTATTATTTAGTTAATGGATCATTGGAGATTTTATTATTATTATTATTATTATTGTTGTTGTTATTGTTATAGATATAGAAGGGTATATACGCGTATTTGTACATATTATAATTAGAGTTAATTACCTGTATAAATATCCTAGTGTTGTAAACAGCATTTATTCATTTTAAGCTAGATATATTAATTACTGTTATAGATGAATGCGTACAATGAAATTAACCGCATTCATGCGGGACGAAAGAGACGGTCCGGGCGTGGCGATCATATTCAACCACAAAATTTGTCTGAGCCATGTTCCCCATTATCGCCGGACTGTGGCCGGATCCGAAGAAGCCGAAACACACAATATCTCGCGTCATTCTCGGGAACGAGTTCTCCGGCTTCAATTTCACGTCCGCCCCTTTGAAATGCAACTGTATCTCTGGCAGGGTGGCTTCATTTACGACCCGCATCATGTAGCAATTGCTTAAACCGCCGGTCTTATCGGTCGGCGCTTTCTCCGCCTTCACCACCTGGTGATATATGGTAACGTATGTATTTATATATCTGATCCGAAATAATTCTATACCTCTCCCTTTTAAATTCATGCGTTACTATATTCATGTACGTATTCTATCAGTTGCAATGGGTGTTTTTTGCATTACTACCTAAGTCATATGTGTTGCATGTTCGTATTAGTTTTGTGTAGCAGTGGAATATAATCACCTATTCTTGCTTTAGTATTAATATTTATCTATCAAAGCATTACCTTTTCAAGCTCGGCCAGCATTTGGCTATGGAAATCGACGGGAAGAAACGTCAATACGGTTCCTGTGTCAAGCGCGATATTGCCCTCGCCATCGCCCTCGCCGTCCGCCGAGCCAGGAAACTCCAACCGTGTTCCGGCGACGCTGACCGCTTCGAGCGTTAAGTAATAAGCTTCCGTGTCTGGGTTGCTGGTGTATGAAGTTGTGACTCCCCCCACGTGACTCGAAATGAGGCCTAAATTGATCCCGCTCCGCCGGCTCGACCCGTGGGGCGCGAAGCAGTAAGAAAAGAGGCCGTTGATGTCTTGGTCGAGCTGAGTAAGGAGAGAAAGGTCGCCCATGTTGAGACCGATGATCCCTGCCCCTCCCGGAGCGAGCACGGAGTTTTCGTGGCCGCAACCCAATAGCATCCCAGGCAGCGTGTGAGTCCCGATGGTTAGCGTCTCGGACACTAGGATCCCCCTCGAGATAGAGCCGTCAAGGTACGATTGTTTGTACATACAAGCATTGCCCGGGCCACAAGACGTGATAGAGGAGAAATTTTGGCATTGTCCCCAATGACAACCGATGTCTCTGAAACTGGCCGAGGCTTTGGGATCAAAAATAGGGTGTGGCTGCTTGAAGCACTTCGTGCATGGCTCGCATTGCGTCCATATAAGCGAGCTCCCAGTATCCGCGAACCCTAGAAATTCCACCGGAGGGGTTCCCAATCCCAGCCTCATCAGATACTCGCCCGATCCGCTCGACGTTATATCCGTATACATAATTGTATCGAGACGTTGTGAACGGATCAACGAACGGTTCACCGCGCCCATAAACCGTTCGGCCGGGGTTAGGTTGGGGTTGTAGAACGGGGACTCTGGGGAATCACGATGGATTAATTCGACGGTAAAACCGACTTTTGGGTTCTCTGCATGGGAAATAATATGTTGGTACGTTGATAACAACGTAAGAAGAAGAGACAAGGACACAAGAGAGATCGTCATTTTGAGTTCTGATACGTAAACCTTACCTACGTACCAGTTGATATGCTTCCTCTTTTATATGGTGACCACAATCTTTTTAATTTATAAATGTAAATCTTTTTTTTTTGTCACAAATGGAAACCTGTTTACACCTTAAGATTTTTCTTCCTGTATATATATATTCTAATTGTATAACAGCCAATTAATCTTGTAAGATTTTTTGTTTGAAATATATGCTGGAAGGATTCATTTGGCTATCATCGCACGTGAACGGGCGTATTGTTAGATACATGCATGGTCCCGTGTACGTCATCTGTTTATACCTTAAGATTTTTTTCCCAGTGTATTCTAATTGTATAACATCCGATTTGGCATGATCTGGGCGCATTAAGGAGCATAATATAAGGAGAATCAAATCTTCATTAGATACATGCACGGTCCCGTCATGTACGTAGACTGTGTAGCTGTGGAAAGCATATTTTAAATTTTTATTTTTATTTTTATTAATCTATGACACTAAAAAACTGCATAAGCCGAAAATGATGATGCCGTGGATTTTTCTTTTAAAACGTATAAAATTATATTATACCCAAAAAATACGGTGTATCTTTAAGTTATAATATTGTTTTATTTTGTTTGAAAGTTATGTATTATGGATTTTTTATAATTTCTAATAATAATGTCTAAGATCTCGTTTTTAGGAAGATCTGTTATGGAGGGATCACGTATATATGCCGGACATGCGGCCCAGGTGATTGACAAAACTTGTGGACCGTTGTGGGCCCACGAGATAATCAATGGCTGACAATAATCCTCCAACGGGCCTAAACATTATTCCTTACACCGGACGTCATCACGGCGACTTTTTGTTGAAACGCTGTTTCTTTTTACATCTTGATACATTTTTCACTTTGGCTAAAATGGGACCCATAAATTTAAATTTCTGGTAGTCAGCAGCTGGCCATTCGACCGTTGATACGTCATCACGGCGACGGAATGCTGTATTTTAAAATTTGAATAAAACGTATATATGAAAGGGTAAAATCGAAAATTCGCTTCCATCTCTCCCGAGCGTTTAAAAAGTTAGGCTTTATAGAGTTTAGAGAGAAACGAAAGCAGACGAAAGTTTTTGGAAAAACAGAGCCTGAAGCGATCTAGCGAAATTCAACGAGAGAGAGAGAGAGAGAGATGGGAGAGGTGGTGTTGTTCATCGACGAGACGAAATCGGATTCGAGGATTTCGCGTTGCAGAATCTGCCACGAAGAAGAAGCGGAAAGCTCATTCGAAGCTCCGTGCGCTTGCTCCGGAACAGTTAAGGTAAGAAGTTCTGATGAAACCATACAAATTTCGCTTTTCCTAATCGCGTTCTGGAATTTTTTTTCCCGATGATCAAGATTCAAGACTCGAAGAATGGACCTGATGGTAGGTTTCTCCGTTTTGGTTCATTTCAGTTCGTTCACAGAGTTTGCATACAACGATGGTGCGACGAGAAAGGAAACACGACTTGTGAAATCTGTCTTCAGGTTCGCCTCTCATCATCATCGATGGAATGGACAATTTGCTGATCCATCGCCCCCGAAAAAAAACCCTTCGTTTGCTGTTTTTCATCATTCAATTAATTTTTCACGGAAATTTAGAAAATATTGCTAAGATTAACTTTCCATGGATTTTGTTTAAATTCTTGATCTCCAGTTTCTTTCCACGAAACGTAGATTCGATCTTCTAATCAATAAGTTCATGTTCTTTCTAGATTCCACTGTTTATCCGGTCCCAATTGATCTAAAGCAAACCGATATTCCACTTTTTTAATACCAATCATATAATTTCTCGTGGAACCCACAGATTTAGTTGCACGATCGCAAAGGTGTTTAAGATTTTGGTGAATCTACTGTGAAAATGGAACGTAATCCTTTAAGAAATACAATCCTGCAGGAGTATACGCCTGGTTACTCTGTAGCTCCTAAACAATTCCGGTTCGTCGAGGCCGCTGTCACAATCAGGTGCTTCTTTTATTATTATTATTATTATTATTATTATTATTATTATTATTATTATTATTATTATTATTATTATTATTATTATTATTATTATTATTATTATTATTATTATTATTATTATTATTATTATTTTTATTATTATTATTATTATTATTATTATTATTATTATTATTATTATTATTATTATTATTATTATTATTATTATTATTATTAAAATTTGTGGGGTAAACAGAGATAGCTTGCAAATTCGGAGGAGAGAAAACGAGAGGAGGAGGAGGAGGAGAAGGGAAATAGCGGATTCTCCGGAATGTAATCCTGCTGCGGCTGATAGATGCGTCTCTTGTTGTCGATCCTTGGTTCTCACTGTAAGCCCTCTCTCATTTTTCCTCTTTATATGTTTTAAAATATCATATCTCATCACTAATTTTTTTTTTTTGTGTCTGGAATTTCTGAATCCTATACTCTTTGCCATCGCTTTAGACTCTTAATTCCCTGAAATTCAAACCTCATTTAATATTGCAAAAAAAAACTAGAATAAATGGAATGAAAATCATCCTTAGTTGGAAGCTCTGAAATTGAAATGGCAACCACTATGTGGAAAATCATTCACATTTGTAGTTATTATTCTCTTATATGCAGCAGAAAATGAATCCAAACAAACCTCGAAACATGCATACACCAATATCTTTTTTTTGTTTGGTGAAGTACATACACCAACATCTTCAAAAGATTCTTTCAAACTCATTTTTTTGTTGACTTTTACGGGTTTTATTAAATGCATGGGGTAGAAAAGTGGACAATTGGTTCAAGTTGGTGATCAATCTAGGCAATTCTTATAAAACATATATTGAGGTTGGGATTTTGTTTGATGTTGCTGCAATGAGGCGTGCGAGACTGCGAGCTGGTGGGGTATCGACAAAATGTGTTTTCCCCCCCTCTATTTCTTTTTCTTTTTATGTATGTCTCCGAAAGATTATTTGTTAAACCCATACATAATTGGACCTGAACCGGTTTTATCTGGCTAAACCGAGATTCCCCCCTACAGACTCTAGATCCAACACCTAAATGAAAATTTTAATACGGATCCTTGGGTCAGGCGTAAGCATATTTTTACTCGGAATTTGATATACCATATATATATATATAAGTGTTGTAACAAATGGTAAAAAAAATGAATGCAGCTATCGGCGGTGTTGCTTATAAAGCAGGCGTTCCACGTGATATATGGAATCGGAGAGTACCCTTTCTCAGTTCTCACGGTATTATGTCCTTCCTTCCTCGGAACCTCGTTATGAGTCCCTTGAACCTTTTTTCTCCTCTCTATCTTAAAAAAAAGAAGAGAGAGAGTGCAGGTACTAGTACTGAAGGCCCTTGGCATTCTACTGCCGATCCTCATCATTGTTAGGACAATTGCAGCTCTTCAGAAAGTTCTTCGTCTTCAATATCCAGTAAACTTCTGTCATTTACCCTCCCCCCCCTCCCTCTTTTACAATCTTATCAATCTTTTCGTTACTACTATATATATATACATGCACGTATTTTACATGCGAACCATCAGTTAATCCGGCAAAATCGGTGCTTTCCGACGTTCTAAAATCACGTATTCTGATAATCCAACGCTTTTTAGTTAGTTAATTACAAACCTTGACTCTCTTTTGGTTTTGTTTTTTTTCCTGTCTAAATAGGAATCTGAAGATGACAGTTTCACTTCTGACGAAGAAGAAGATGAGCAACATCGACATTTGGCTCAACGCCTCTGAACACCAAACCACTCCTTAAAACGAAAATAAAATGCAAATACATATATTTTTTTTCCTTTTTACAAGGGGCGTGGTGTTTTTGGCCCATCGTGTGTAGCTCCCGTCAATGGGTCCTTCTGAACTTCGAGAGATTGGGGGCGTTGGGGGATCGGATCCTTTCTAATTGCCATCACTCTACTCTTGTCAGCGTTTTTGCCTGTCTTCTTTCTTTCGCAGTGTCACCGTACAGAGCCTCGAACTCTCGGGATTTCTCTACGGCTCTCTTAAGCACAGAGTCCGGGAGCCCTACAACATTCAAAAGCCGAATCCCAATTCAAAGGAATCAGACCTGAGGCCCTTTCTTTTGTTTAATATGAGGAGAAAAACAAAAGGAGGGTAGGATAGGACAAGTATATAAAAATGGATATGAGTTACTACTCAATAGTACCAGCTAGGCGGGCAACGTTGACGCCGTAGCTCTTGGGACAAGCACCAGGCCTCAGCCTATACAGAAACGTCACTTCCTCCACACCCCCTTCCCCCCGTCCTACCTCACATCCCATATGCCATAGTGAGACCTGTCCCACACCATATACATATATTTACAATACGTTCCCTTCATCATCTCAGCTTCAGCATTTATTTTTATTTGTTGTGAAAAATAAGACAAAATACATGTATTCTGGATCTAGCACTTGAAGACATGCTACTACGAGAATACCAGTGGGAGAATACCTTTGGATTGGTCTGATGATCCACAGATAGTCTGTGATAATGAGTAGAGAACATTCCTCTGCATTGCACCTCGTTTACAAAGTGTTCCAGAACAGATTCCCTTTTCCATGCAACAAGGAATTTGAATCACAGGCCGATTTTTATCCGCAACCCAAGTCATACATACATATATATATACAAGGAATAAAGCTTTATTTGCATGGACGATGGATGAGTCAACTTACGCAATGGCTTGTCCATCTGAAGTTGCTGTCCCTCGCCCAAGCTCATCTAACGCCACTAGTGAATTTCGGGTTGCTGATGACTGCAAGTTATCAATATGATCTCATATATGTAACATTCGTTCAAGTAGCACCCATGGTTTCACATTGAATTTAGGGTCATGAATCATAGCATCATACTATCAGGAGGACAACCAAAGAAAGCTTACTCTGTCAGTAATTTACTAATGGATTCAACAAACAGAACGAATAATACTTCTCAAAGTCTAGAGATGCACAGTGCATATTTTCCTTCTATTGCAACCCCCAACACATAATTAACACTCACCAGCATAACAGCAGTTTCCGAAAGCTCTGTTAAAAATGTACTTTGCCCTGCCATAATATGATCTTTTGCACCCATCCGAACAAAAATTCTATCCACAGGTGATAGCTCAAAGCTTTCTGCTGGAACATCCGCTCCTATCTGTGAAAAGATTTAACTATTACTTGCTCTTCTTTCTTTTTCAGTTTGACAAACATAAAAAAAGGCAAAGATCTATTGCGTTCCAGGAATGCTAACATTACCTGAGCCAAGATTACAGCCAAGCAGACCTGGCGAAGAAAGGTTGACTTTCCACCCATATTCGGCCCCGTTAGGAGGACGAAGCTGGCTTGGCCAGCACCACCGATCTTTACATTATTTGGTACAAAAGAGCCTCCGCCTAAAGAATCGCCCCTCAATATTGGATGCCCAAGGCCAGTGGCTGACAAGTATGGAGCGTTAGCAGAAGAAGTGAACCCTGAGATTACTGGACGACATCTTATTCCTTCGTAAGAATCACTTGCAATAGCTAGGCTGATCAACACATCCAGCTCTGCAACAGCAGTGATTCATTCAACAACTAATAAAAAGTCGAAGCATAAGTTTTTTTAACATGGTTGTCAGGTCTAGGCAGATGCTCATAGCTGAAAATGTCCACAACATGTCTTATAACATTGAGAGTCCAGTGGACAACAACAATGCATTCTCTGATTAAGGAGCTGTGAGTGCTTTAAAAGAAATCGCTTCCAATGGTGAAAGTGAAAAAAAAAACACCATAATCATGGAGTTTCTATATACCTGCAGTTGCAGACACCAGTTGTCTCCACTTGTCATGATGCTCACAAAATTGTGCAATCAGTCTCTGTGAAATGTTTTTTAGAGCAGATTCTTTTTCAGATTCAGCTTGTGATCGCTCTTTCAATAACTTTTTCGTAGTTGGAGTCCAGTATCGAAAGAAACCCTGAAAAGGAACAGTTTGAAACTAACTAAGAAAAATCTCATGTTTAGAAAGAGTTCCATCAAAATGGATAATCATCAGTCATGCAACCACCAGAAGTCAACAGTTAGATTAACATCACAAGTAAACATATAACCACAGCAGCACATGAGGCAGAAAATGAAGTCAACTGAAACTGTGATGGATCTCCAGGTGTAGCATCACTAAAACAACACCTTGGGATAGATGTGAATTTGGAAAAAATGTGACATTCGACAAGAAAACTGTATTTTACCTTTTTAGATGAACACAATTCATAATCTTGAGGAACCCGTCCACGTAAACATTCCGGAACTTCCAACAGGTATTCTTCTTTGCCAACTGTAACATAATTTATCTGCATCAACACAAACCCCACCAAAGTTTCTGATCAAAAAGCTATTAGCTGATTAGCCATATAGGGAGTAAATATCAATGGAAATTGCTCTCACCGAAACATCTCCAAGTAGGTTTCGCTGCTCCTTGAGGTGTTTTGTCAAACTGGATACAATCTCTTTTGCAGTTTTGCAAGCAGAGTCATACTCTTTATCAGCTCCTTCACGAGGTACTACACGTCCCGTATTGTGAGCTTCTAACCAGTCAAAAGCATCTTTGAAACGTTTAATGATCGAAGAAATGCTCGGGAGGCCTTGACCTGTAGTAAACTAAACGTAAGACGCTATACAATTTCTTTCTAGCAGTAGCTGAGAGTGAGTAGGGAAAGTGCTGATGATACCAGG